CGGCCGGAGACCACAGGGGCGATCACCAAAGCAAGGAGCAAGCGAGAGCAAGGGCTACGCTGCGTCGGGGCTTCGGGGAAGTGGGTTTCTCCCCGTCTGGAGGATTATTTATAGTGTGCGAACCGATTCGTGAGATCGGTCCGTTCGAGTGGATTTGGGCTCGCGAGTTCGTGAGTCTGTCCGTTCAAACCGGTGCTCGGACGTATAGGTAGCCCAAATCTACTCGGATTTGGGCTCGGCAGAGACTGAGCTCGGTCTGTTGGAGTCGGTGCTCCGACCCAAAGGCAGCCCGAATCGACCGGTCTGGGATTTGGTGTCACCAGATCCTTTGGGTTCTCCTTTGGGTTCAATCGCGTCGAGTTGGTCGAATCGATCGAGCTATTTGTTTATGGTTGAACAGCGAGAGTTCTACATAATAGGGGTGTCACAAGTAGTTGTTTTTGTTCTCTTCTATTTTAGCCTATCCAAAATCCGAGACGCAATGGGTGTAGGATATAAATTTATGGTATGCATGTAGGGAATAATGTTCGGAAGAAAATTCCTGGCACTGTAATACTTGTTTTTTTGATCCATCGTCAATTTAACTTGAGATAATTGATTTAACATAGTTTATATTTTGAGTATTATTGAATATAAAAGAGAGAGGTCGTTAAGTATTGAGTACCTACGTGAGAGAATAATTTTTCTGAAGGTGAAAAAGGACAAAAGATACCTGTCTCATATCTTATTCTTAGAAAAGATTGAAGTTTTGTTCAGAAAATTCCGTCCAACAACCAATATAGTACATATATGCAAACATCTAAATCTCATAAATATTTGTTTAGCTTGGTTTCAATTCCTAATGAGCCCACTAAAGAAAGATCCATAGACTTAAACGGTGAGGGTTACCAAAATCTTCATAAACTAAGGTTGTTTCAGAAGAGGGTCTGAATAATCCCTCAGCCGTCAAAGATAACCAATATGCCGACTAATCCACGGTTTTTCCAGGAAAGAAGTATACGTCGACTAAAACGAAAGGTTTCCGAGATCTCATCGAAAAGTAGATCATCCTTTCTGTATGATCGTCAAAAGAGGACCGATCGATCCATAGATCATCAAAGATCTCAATCCATAGATAACGATCCCTCGAATGAAACATGCACAGACAAGAGGGAGGACTCTTTAGCTTTGAAAAGTCAAACTGTTACAGTCGAGTCAGGCAAGGAGAACACTGATCAAGGCTCTTCAGTCAAACCTAGTGGTAGTAGATTTAGACTTTATCTTTCTATTCTTATTGTATATAATTTCATCAATTTTCTTTGTAGCTATATTAGAATGTAGAGTCCTGATTTGAGTTTATTCGATTTATGAATCAAATATGATTATAAAATAGGTTAGACAAATCCAGCCATGAGCCATATTTGAAGAGTCCCAGAGGACTCTATTTTCAATGTTGGTTGATGACAAAGTTTTCTCCCATACAACCTCTTAGTGAACATATATCAGAGGACGTAAACCAAGAGATCATGCTTGGATGTTATTTTCTCTTTTATGCAACAAAGTTAATTTAGTTTGATGGTGATCTCTGTTTCTTCCTTCTTTTTCTTCTTTCTCCCCTTGGGAGGCATATTCTCCTCTTTAAATTGGATAATTACCGGATAGGAGGGTCATTTCCTATCAAAATCATGCCAATAAACCTATCCAAAAAAAAAAAAGATAACAGAATTTTTTTGTTCAGTTGAAACTTAAAATTTTCTTTTTGAGATAAAATAATTTCCAAGTTAACAAATTAAAAAAAATAATTAACAGTGCTCTATACTAAAAAATTATTTACAAATGTAATTAAAATATTAACACCGAATTGACTCTATTTTACGAACTAAAAATAATGATCTATGATAATATAAATTCTTTAGTTGAAAAGTTCAAATTATCAGTCAGAAAATACGAGTGAATTTTGTATAAGTTCTAGAAACCGTAACTTGTACATGTGAAGAACAAAGCAACAGTTCTCAGGCAAAGAAAGAAAAATAATGAGAAGATAACAAAAATTACCTGTAAAATTATGTATGAATCTCCAGAGTAGAATTTACCATAATCAGACTTTGGTATAGGCACTGGTTGAAAGTTCTCAATACGCCATATTTCTGTTCCTCTATGCTATGTGGTGTTAAGTAAATGCTCACATTAAAAAATCAAAAAAGATACTACAAAGAAAAACAATTTGAAGAGTAAAAGAACAGCTAAAAAATTTATGCAACCAATAGTGACAATAACTTGCCCACATGATGCATTTTATAACATTTCTTATAAGGATACATTTTGTGTCCAACTCCCTGAAATGCAGGATCAGCATATTTTGTAGAACTAGACATTGTATGCTGAAAGATTTTATACTATGACAATGGAACAAGTCGTCTTCACAATTTCAGAATGTGCTCAGAACACTGAATAATTGAAAAAAGCTGCACTCAGCAGAAGAAAATAACATAATCAATAATCATCTAGAACTAATATGTACTGTGGCCAACTCATCTACAGGTTTTACCATAAAAATTATACAACAGGTTGCTGGTCAACACAAGTCAGCTGTGCAGTAAGCGAATCATTAAACCACCAAATTATATAAAATTGCATTTCTATAACTTTTCTCAAGTGGACGGATAAATGTACATGTGGGAACTAGCAAGCTGATGACTGGACACTTAGCTGGAAGATGCCACGTAAAACACACCAAAAAGAACAGTATCAGTGAAATTCATGTTATCTGAAGTAATTATTGCTCACAACAGCAGATGGATAGTCCAGAGAAGGAAAGGTAGGGCGTGCAATACTCTAGAGGAACTATAGCTTGGATTCATATAGATTACTCAAGGGGGAAAGCTAGGTACTGTTCCACAGATTTGTTTTAAATTATTTAATTATCACTTTCGAAGACGGTCTAATCATGACCTGCCTCTTTCCACGCTTCTCAGCATTGTACATGCTCTTGAGAGCATCATTCAACACACTGACCCTCACCATCCTCAACAAGCCTGTAAAGAAGCAACATTAGAGAATACATAGGTGAAACAAGAACTTGAAACCTGTAACCAAGTGATATGATCTCCAACAACTAAACACAATAAATTGGGATGCAGTGGTACAAAATTGTCATTCAGTTAAAACTAAATTAATAAATACATAATTCAAACATTAGCATCACACTATAGCTTGTGATTGGAAAGGGGCAGCACAGTATGTGACATTGTAGATAAAAAATAATAATTCAAAATAAAAAATCATAAATAACCCATTAATAACATGCAATTTTAAGTCTGTATAGCATGTCAAGTCTAAAAAGTAAGTACTTTTATTCAACATTTTATCCAGTTACAGACAGTACCGCTGACAACTGAATACACTAGCCAAGCATCATTCTTGGCATCTTCACCTTCTAAGATGTTATTGTTATGAACGAGCTAATATCAACTATCATCCTACCCATAACTTGACAAAGAAAGGGGGGAAAATTTTGAAAAACACAGAACCTATTGGAAAGAAGATTTGACAAAATTTAATGGCCATCAGACTAACAAAAACACCCTAAAAGTGATAGTGAACCCCTATCCATGGAATAATTAAGCAAGAGAGCACTTGGCCAAGGTCCTAAAAGGCTAGCCTGCAGATAGAAAATGAAATCCAAGCTCATGAATGATAAAACAACTTTTACACATGAAAGCCATAGATTAAACTCGAAAATGAAAGAAATTTATAAATATATATAGATATATTGATATGCTGCATTATACAATTTTTTAAATAATACCTTAAACTAATTAAGACCCATGACAACTAAATAATGTGAATGACATGGATGAAAGCTGCTAAAAGATTTTAATGCATTTGTCATTTTGTTACAAGATATTTAAAATGGAGTTCTTTCGTTCCTTGCACATGCATTTTAATAGTGACACTTTGTAGCACAATTAAGTAGCAAATTGAGCGCATCAAGTTAATAACTGGGAAATTGAGATGTGTACTTTCTTTAGAGAAATAGAGAAGCTTGACAGGGAAATTGGGTCTGAGACAAATTAAGTTGTCTATATACAATGAAGCATGAGTTGTAAATGAGAGGTATAGATAAGATTCATAATGTTTGAGTGTTGGTGCAGTCAATAATGGAGAAATCGAACGTGATATTGAGATGCATTATTACTTTGATCATTGGCGTCGATGAGGCCATCTGAGAGGAGACATAAACATGTTATTTAATCCCTCCACTTTTGTCTCTCAAGTCAAAAGATTAGTATATGGCATGGTGTCAATCAACCTTATGCATGCATGCATGGTTGAGTAGT